CTCGTCGTGCGCCACCGCGACCCCGTAGCGGCGCTCCCTGGGCCCCTCGGCAGCCCGCGGGCCCCGCGAGGCAGTTCGCGCGCGGCCGGGCGCCCGCCGCGTCGCCGCCCCGGCCGCCGGCCGCCGCGCCCGCCCGACGCCCGCCTGCTGCCGCCCGCGGAACGAGCGCCTCCGGCTGCCCAGCGGCGCCGCAGCGCCGCTGCCCGCGCGTCCGCCGCCGCCGCCCGCGCCTCCGCCGCTGCCTCCGCCGCTGCCCTCCGCCGCCGCCCTCCGCCGCCGCCCAGCCCGCCCCCTGCGCCCGCCTCAGCGGCAAGCCGCCTTGCTCGGCGCCCGCGCGGCAGCGCCGCGCGGGCGCGCGCGCGCGCGCGCGGCGCGCCGCCGGCTCGCCGCCGCCGCCCCCGCGGCGCGCCGCCCCCCGCGCGGCGAAGCACGCGGAGCGGAAAGCCTCTGCGCTGCCCCGCTGCAGCGTCGCGGCGAGGCTCTGGCGCGCCGCCGCCAGCACCTCGGCGTCTCCTCGCGCGCATGTGCGAAGGAGCGCCTGCCCTTCCTTCCTGGCGCGCCCGAGGGTGGTCTCCAGCGCAAAGGCCGACTGCGCTTGGCCTGGGTAGCGCGCGTGCTTGCGCTCCTCCGCGGGGGCAGCGGCGGCGCCGCCCCGGGCGGCGCGGCCTCGGCCCGACGGCGTGTCCGCGCCGAGGGAGGCGTCGGTGACCACCGCGTCGACGTAGGCCACGCCGACCGTGGGGTCCGTGAAGGCCACGTCGAGGCGGGCGGCCTCCACGACGCCGTCTGGGCGCGCGCGGTCCCAGGCGGGCGCGAATTGCACCGTGCCCACGCCGGTCGCGCCGCGGGCGCCGAGCCAGCGGGCGAGCCAGTCCTGGGCGCCGTCGCGGCGCTGGATCGCGCCGCCGCCGACATGGCAGCCCAGGCAGTGCCCCAGTGTCGCGGCCAAGTCGGCTCCGCAGCGCGCGCCGCCCCCCCTGCGCCGGAGGCAGGTGGTGCTGGCGGCCGCTGGCAGGGGTAGCTGGAGGCGCAGCGCGAGGGCTGGGAGGAAGCGCGCGTCCGCCAGCACGTGACTGAGCGGCAGGAGTCAGCTCCCCGCTCCCTTCCCGCTGGCCGAGCGTAGCTGCGCCGCCCGGTCTGGTGGCAAGGCGCCCAGGAGCCGCTGCTGGCACGCCTGCATGCTGCTCCGGCGTCGCGAAGGCGCGCTGCGCTTTCGCCTGTAGCTCCGCAGCGGCGCAGAGCCAGGTCGCGCCGCGCACCTGGAGAGCGCGGCCCGCCCCCTCGGCCGCCCCCCACGCCGTCGGGCAAGCGCGCTGGAAAGCTTCGAGGCTGGGGAGTCCGAGCTCGCTGCAGACGCCGGCCAGGCACGCCTGCCAGGCCCCCACGTAAGCGGGCAAGCGCCTGTGCGCGAGGCCCTGCAGCCCAAGTCCACCCCCGGCGCTGGGCGGGAGAGCCAAGTCGCGCGCGCCGTCTGGTAGAGCCAGGTGCCCCGTGAACGGCTGCAGGATCTCGCGCACGTGGCCCAGAACCGCCGCGTCGTAGCCTGGCACCAAGCCTCGTCCAGCAGGTGCGCCCGCGCGTGGTGCAGGGCCACGCCGGGGCAGGACGAGCTCGTCCTGGGCGCGCAACCCGTGGCCTCGAAGCCGGCGGAGGGCCGCAAGGTAGGCGTCGAGGTGGTTTTGGGCCGCCTGCGGGACGGCCGTCGGCGAGAAGCTCGCTCTCGCGGGGTCGGCGCCTGGGTCCGCCCCCGCGCGGCGTTGCGCACGCAGGGCAGCGTGCTTCCCATGCGCGCGAGGTCGGGGACCTGCGCCCTCGCCAGCGGCCCCGGGAGAGGCAGAGCGCGCGGGTTCCAGGCCTTGGTCTTCCGCGTGCTATAAGGCGGAGGCCCCGCGCCGCCAAGAGCGCCGGCGCCGCGAGGAGCGCGGCGGCCAGTGCGCGCGGGGGCTGCCCACGACGCACGCATCGTCGAGGTAATTAGGCCACCACCCTGGCCTCGGGGCCCATCGCGGCGCGCCGCCGCCTCCAGGCCCTCGTAGAAAGTCGCCACCGCCAGCGCGAAGAACGCCGGGGAGAGGGGGCAACCCTGGTCCACCCCGCGCTCCGCCCTGACCGGCGCCGCCAGGGCCCCCGGAAGGAGGGCTCCATAGTGGCCCCGCTGCGCCACGTCCCCGCCAGCCGCGCGAGCTCCGGCAGGGGGCCAGCGACTTCCCGCAGCAGGGTGTCCCGGCAGAGCTGGTTGAACGCGTTGGCCACGTCCAGGGAGAGCACTGCGGCGCCGGGGTCTTTCTCCAGCGCGGTCGCCACGATGCGGCGCATCAGCTCGATGCCGCGTTTGCGGCCCACGCCATGCTGGCGGCGACCCACCGCTGCAGCGATGGCTCACTTGAGCACCGCCGTGGCGGCCGACTTGGCCTCGGGGTCCTCGCAGCGCGCCGCCACCTCCAGGCCCTCGTAGAAGAGTCGCCACCGCCAGCGCGAAGAACGCCCGGGAGAGCGGGCAACCCTGGTCCACCCCGCGCTCCGCCCTGACCGGCGCCGCCCGGGCCCCCGGAGGGCTCCGTGCGTATATAGTGGCCCCGCCGTGCCACGTCCCCGCCAGCCGCGCGAGCTCCGGCAGGCGGCCGGCGACTTCCCGCAGCAGGGTGTCCCGGCAGAGCTGGTTGAACGCGTTGGCCACGTCCAGGGAGAGCACTGCGGCGCCGGGGTCTTTCTCCAGCGCGGTCGCCACGATGCGGTGCATCAGCTCGATGCCGTTTTTGCGGTCCACGCCGTGCTGGTGGCGACCCACCGGTGCAGCGATGGCTCCCTTGTGCGCCGCCGTGGCCGCCTTGGCCGCCAACCTGCGCAGCGTCTCGCCGCAGTCAAGCGGTCGCACGCTACCTCCCGGCTTCAGCAGCGGCAGCAACCGTCCGGCGAGGATGGCCGGCATAGCCTGCTCCGGCACCCGGCCCTCCAGGATGAGGACGAGCACCTGCGCGAGCGCCTGCTTCCCCTCGCTGTGCCCGCGTAGAGCCGCCCAGCATTCGAAGCGGGCGCCAGAGAGACCCGGGCCAGAATGGCGCAGGTACTTCCTGAGGCTTCCGGGGTACTTACTTCGGCCGCTTCGGCCTCCCGGCGGGCCGCGCCGCGGGCGGTGGCGGCGGAGGGTCGGCGGCCGCCGCCGCTGGGAAGAGGGCGGCCAGTACCCGGGGTCCTTGCGCCAGCATGCTAGGCCTTGCGGCCGCCCCAGCAACGCGGCCGACTTCTCCGAGCAAGATGAGATCATGCACCCGTCGGGCCATTTCTTCTGGTTTCCGCTGGCCCGCGCGGTTTTCGGCTGGTTCCCCGGGTCGCGCTGTCGCGGCCCACGGCGCCGCCCAGTCGCCAGCCCAGGCCTTCGGAGGCGGCGCGGCAGCACCTTCGAGGCCGAGAGCTGCTCGTCACTGCTGCTGGCGGGGGGCACCGCGAAGAGCAGCCGCGGAAGCAAGAGCAGCCGGGCCCATGCCGCCTCGCTCGTGGAGTTCGCCGCGACTGCGCGGAGCGCCGCGGCGAGCACGTCCGCGACCGCCGTCGCGAAGGCCAGGAGCGTCGCCGTCCACGCGGGCACCGGCTCCCGCAGGGCGCCGTGCAGGTCGAAGCCGGCCCACCGCTCCAGCCCGCGGAGCTCGCCCGCCTCTGCCGCCAGGACGTGCCGCGGCTGGAGGTCGTTGGCGGGCGCGTCGTCCGCCTCTGGCTGGGCCGCCCCTGGCGCAGGCGTCGTGCAGGCGAGTACCTCCGCGCGGCCCTCTTCTGGTAGTACCGACAAGCCCTCCACAGACCCGTGGGGCACTCCGCCAGCGACGCACGCAGAGTGGCGGAAATACCTGTCAGGATTTGCCCGGCTCGACAGGCGGACCGCCCCCCCCTCGAAGCCTTCGCAGCACACACACACACACACACAGCAGACTGCCACGTGTTTCCGGGCGAGCTGCCAGCTGGCCACACAAGTGCGGACCCGTGGAGGGCGCCAGGTTGCGGCGGCAGGAGGCGCAGCGGCACCGGCAGCAGCAGCGGCGCCTGCGGCGCTCCCCGGGGCAGCAGCGGCACGGGGTTCGCCGACAAGTTGGGCTGCTCCAGAGTGCGCGGCAGCAGCCGCTCCGTCCGCATCCATGGCGAGGTCCGTCGTCACCTCCTCCTCCTCCTCCTCCTCCTCCTCCTCCTCCTCCTCCTCCTCCTCCTCCTCCTCCTCCTCCTCCTCCTCCTCCTCCTCCTCCCTACTCATCTCCCGAGGCAAACAGCCGTCTCAGACAACGGGTTGTGCCCAGGAACACACAAAGCCTCAAACCGCAGCGCCGGACACATTCCGCACAGATCCCGACGCGCGCTGACCAAACGCGTCGCCACTCATCCCCCAAGAACCCGCGGCTGACACCCAAGCCTTAGCTGGAGCCGGAACCCCCGCAGAGGAAAGAGCCGAAGACACGACCGCCTTTGCGGCGTGATGATCCGGAGTGGACTGTGCATTCCCGCCCTCCCGCCATGTCGCCGAACGCAACGGAGGATGGTCGACCCGCGCACCACCCAGAGAGCCCAGCCACAGAAACCAGCGACCACCCCCCACAATTGCACTACTGACCCCGAATAAGGAGTGGGCTTGGGATTAGCCACAACCGTTGCCCCATCCCCCCGTAGCAAAAACGAGCCCACCCAGGGGAAACTTCAACGCCTGGCATGAGGAAGGCGTAGTTTCCAACAGTCCGACAGGCGGCCGAGTCCGCAGACGGGAGGCTTGTGGATTTTGCCTGTCCCCCCGTTGTCGCACCCGACATCGACTCGTCGATGACCACCACCACCACGACGGCGGCGGCGACGACGGCACACGACGACGAACGACGAAAACGACGACGATGACGTCGACGGCTGCGACGACGACGATGACGACGAACTGCGACGACAGACGACGACGAACGACGACGTTGACGGCTGCGGCGTCGACACCAAACGACGAACGACGACGACCGCTTTCGCGCCGGCGCGGCCCGAGCTCAGCGTCGCGGACGCGCAGGGGCGAGATCCGGGGCGGGAGGGGCCGCTCGGAGCCGCGGAGAGGCTTTGCTGGGCGTCGTCGTCGTTAGACATGGCCGCCCCACGTCGGAGGACGTCGCTGTCTCTGTCACCGCACGTCGGCGACGTCGTAGTCGTCGGGCGTCGACGACGTCGTCGTGGATTTTTCAGGGTCGGGAGGGAGGCGGAGTCGTCGCCTGACGGCGGACGTCGTCGTCTTCAACCGTCGAGCGTCGACGACGTCGTCGTGGATTTTTTCGGGGTCAGGAGGGCTTGGGAGTCGTCGCTTGACGGCGGACGTCGTCGTCTTCGTTGTCGTCGCCGTTGGTGGAGGAGGAGGAGGAGGAGGACGAGGAGGAGGAGGAGGAGAAAAAGGAGAGGGAAGTATTGGAGGAGGAGGAGGAGAATGAGGAGGACCAGTGCAAACCCAAGACTCCTCAATGATGTTGCAATAAACCACCTTCCAAGCTCCCCAATCACAGGTCCCTACAAAGGTTTCTCTTCACTGAGGGCAGCGCCCCGTTGGAGGACAACCGTCTGGGAATCCTGAACCGTGCCAGAAAACCATTCCTGGGACTTCAACGCCACGAATCAACATGACTGTTACGTCCTGGCGATTCTGAGTCGTGCCAGAACACCATCCATGGGCAGCCATAAAAATCACTTCAACTGATGTGAACTCTTCAGACGAATGTACGCGGCGCTAAGACGCGAGCCACAGTTTGAAAAGGTACCGACCTCCATCCGTGAAGCTCCGGGCAAACTTTAAGACGAATGCCACAGTAGAAAATGTCCCATCTTACGTCCTTGAAACGGGAGAGCCACATTTTGAAAACGGCTCGCCCATCTTCAGTAACATGTCTGCCAAGTTTTTTATATAAAAAAAGGTGCGCGGCGCTAAAACGAGAGGCGCGCCACGAAGACGACCTGCCTTCCATCCGCGAATTTGCTGCAAATTGTAAGGTTGAGGATTGTAAGTGGTGAAGAGGTCTCTGCTACAGGGAGGAGTCATTTAACCGCTTCGCTCACTCCGCCGGCCCATTTGTCGGGCACCGGGAGGCAGGTCACATGAAGCTCTTGGGAGCTCTCGGAGGATTTCGGGGACGTCTGAACCTGGAGCCTTTTCGGGGCTTTGGGGGGGACTCTTGGCGGCCTCCTGACCGCCTGTTGGGGGCCTCGTGGGGCCTCTTATGGACCTCTGGGGACCTCCTGGGGATTGCTTATGGCCGAGGGCTCGGAATTTTGTTTCGTGTTCCCCCTCTGGGGCCTCTCTTGGGGCCTTCTTGGGCCGTCTTGGGCGGTCCTGGAGCCCTCTTCGGCCGTCTTGGGGCTCTCTTGGGGCCCTCTTGGACCCTCTTGGGGCGATCTTGGGCACCTCTTGGGCCGTCTTGAGGCGTCGGGAAGCCGAAAAGGGAGCCCTAATCTGTTCAAAATCTAAGGACAATCAGTGAATTTTACCTCTTGGAGCCCTCTTGGGAGTGTTTTTGGAAGCCTCTTGGGGCGTCTAGGGTTAATCTTGGGCATCTCGGAGCCCTCTTGTTCTACCTTGGGGGTCTCTTGGGGGCCTCTTGGCCCTTCTTGGGGCTTTCTGGAGGGCCGACCCGACCCGGCCGGGGATCTCTGACCCGAACCGGTCGGGGGCCGCCCGGAGTATTCTTCGTCCGGAGACCCCCAGGGGCCGCTCCGCGCGCGCGAAGTAGAAATACTGTACGCAGTTACCGGAGATTTTAGCACGCCTCTGGCCCGTTGGGCCGGCGAATTTATAAGGAAGAAGGGATGGAGCAGGAAAAGCGAGGACGAGCGAGGAGGAGGGGCCAGAGTAAACCCACCACGCGGCACCGATGCTGCAACATTCCTTCCCGTCACAAGTCCCTCTGTCATAAGATTTCTCCATGAGACAGTACGTTGAAGTCAAGTCACTGGCTAGCGTATGGTGGAAAGGTTGGGGTCTCATGGCCTTGCATTGTGAGAGCTGTGTGTCTTGTAAATCACATCAACGATCACACTAATGTGCACATGTGCGGATCACCATGATTTCGACGTGATCGCATTCTATCCACGTGGCCGGTAAAAACTTCATCCGACGCGTTCCGCCGAAGAAATATCAAGCTTTTGGGGGATAACCGCCCTTTCCCGTTGTAGTTGATGGGGCCTTATGTTTTAGAATCCAAAGATGTGGGGGGGACGAACTCGATGGGAGCACGATTGTGACAATGAGCCGCCTATCAGCCAATTGAGCCACCTATCAGCCCTGTGTGCCGAAAGCTCCTAGCGGTGGGATCCCCAAATGGGAAGAATATCCAGGCGACAGGCGAATTTGGAAAGGAGCCGCCGCCCATGCTTGCCGTTGCTCAGAAGCTCAACTGTTACGATCTGGACATGCGAGTGGCTTCCATGCAGGAGCCAGATTTCTTTCTACACCCCTTTCCCGTCAGTGAAGCTGTTGGAAGGATGACAAAGAGTGCGCGCGGCGCTACAGCAAGAACCAGATTGTGAATTGCACCTGCATGGCGACTTGAAGCCTCAAAACTTCCAGGCAAATCAGGATCGAAACGTTCGGCCCAGATCGGCTTACGGACGCGTCTTGTGTCGCGACGAGAGGGAATCACCTTTCAACCTGTAGAACGGATGGGGGGAGGTGGGCCCGCTCGGCAGCCGAACTGGGATCGATCCCCAGCCCGCTGGGCTGCTGATCGAGATCAGCCGCCGATCTGACCTCGAGTGCATATTTGTGGAGAATGTGCAGGCGGACGAGGAGGAGAAAGACGAAGAGGAGGAGGAGGAGGAGGAGGGGAGGGGGTTCCATGTAGGTCGCCAGGTTACTGTGCAACTCGTGTTTTTGGTTCAAGAAAATGTAACCGCCGTCAGGCGGTGCCACACACAGAGCCCCATTGCAAAACAGAACCCTCATGTTCGTCACAATCGTCTTGGTCAACATGCATGGTAGCGGAACGAGGCTATGACAGCAAAAGCAGGCGCAGAGAAAATGGTTTGGTTACGGCACTGCCAATTTCGGACATCACTGCCTTACTGCGTACAAGTAAGGTGGCTACGTGTGCGGCGAAGCTGACGTGCAGGCCAACAGCGACGCGACGGTGAATTACTTTCGTCAATAACAAGAACTGACGGGTAGTCAAGTGTTGCCCAACGAGCACGCGATGTCACGAACGAGGGCGTTTGGAAACTCTAACGCAACATTACTGAACATCCTGAATTGCGAGGGTGAGCACGAGGCAGGTACCACACATGTTAAGATGCGAGTGGCCGCGTTGGGAAGGATAGCCGGGGAAGTTTGAACACCAATGTGATCCTCGCTGAGATAGTCGAAAAGGTAGGATCTAACAAAGACGATGCCCGCCGACGGCCCGTGAGTAAATCGAAGGCAACCGGACGAAGTTTCGGTAATGGAACGACATTGCCATGCATTGGCACGACTTAACAATTGAAACAACATGGCTCTTGAATTACTGAACTCGAGGCAATGGACAGAACCGTGCCAGACCCGAGCGAGGAAGGAGATACACTAAGAATGTTCAGCGGGGGAATGAAAACAGCGGGACGCAACGAGGAGTCAGCGGAGACGGCGCGCGAAGAAAACGAGTGCGAAGTTGAGCATGTGCTGGGCGAGGATGGAACTCACAAACTGGACAAGGACTCATGGTGCGTCTGCACCGAAGAACTTGGAGAGCATTGAGGCACGAGGCAATCTAAACGGCGTTGCAGAAAGGTGTAGGACTGGTCGCTCCCATGGACATCTATAAGTGGCAACAGGGCTTACAATATCGGCTAAGATGAGCTCAGTCATGAACTTTGGCGGACCAAAGAACATAAGTGGCTCGCAGGACCAGCCCGAGAGAAGCTAACGACATGTTGCACATCGCATGTTCTGCCATTACCTTCCAAGGTAGTGGCTCTTTATATCATGGCGACACACGTTGGGGGGCGGTTCGATCACGCACAGCAGGGTTGCACCCAGTTCATCTACCAACGAATCATCTCAAACAGCATGTGCCGCGCAAAGACTGGCATACGAAGAAAACATAGGACGCCGACGCGAAGCTTAGCGACGCAATAGACATCGGGAAAGCAAGCAAACAAAAAGAAAGGCCTTGAACCAGGAGCCGGCGCCAGGGAAATTACCGCGGAGAAGAGCGTGAGAAAGGCAATTAGTGGCCCCTGATCGAAGACGGGAACACAGGCTGGAATGACGGCCAAGGCTGGGGCGAAGGAGACGCGGACGCAGTCGGCAAGGATGAAAGTAAAGGAAAGGCCATGCGCAATCGGCGCAATGGGCCACCCGGCCAGGGGCTCCAGAGACAGGGGCGAAGGCAAGGACAGTAGCACAGGGAAGGGGGGGGGGGGGAAGAGGGGCAGCCTGGCACAGCGAATCCTGCGGGGGCACCTACGGTAGCTGCAAGGGAGCCTGCGAGCAATTAGAACAGCTAGGCGCGAACCAGGCGGCAGGGGCCACGCGCCCATGAGCGAGCGCGAACGTTGCGAGCGCGGGCGCAAGGGCCGCGCTGCAGCCAGCCGCGCCAAGGGCGCCAACGAGGTTGGACAGGCCAGCCGCCAGAAAGGAACATATCGCCTCGGGCAGACGTGCTGGAGATGGACCCAGGATTGCGCGCCATTGCATCCCAGATTACCCGGATCCACAGGAAGCATAACGGGGCACGCTGGCCAGGATAATGCAGACATTGGCACGCGGAATGAAGAGGTGGTCCACATGTCACATGATGATTCGCCAGCTCAGCTGTCACTGGGGCGCAACCGGGCTCGCAGACAGCGAATGCGCAGGCAACGCCAGATGGGTAGAGGTGACCCATGAGACAGATGATGCGAACGCAGGTCCCAAAGGCAGCCCATTATCCAACGTAAAAGCTGCGGTGGTCCTCGTCGGCCCAGGAGCTTGCAACGCGGTCGGGCTACTGGACGTCGGAGCGCGCTCCCCGGCAGGATTGGCGGAGGCTTCGAAAGCGGTTCGCCCCTGCAGCGCAGCCAATGGGGCGGCGAGAGGAACCCCGCGACAGCGAGCAAATGCATGA